TCCACGTTTGGGTTGAATTTCCTGGTAAGGAAGACTTCTTTTGGACAACAGTTTATGCTAGTCCTTAAGAGGAAAATAGAAGAATGTTGTGGGAAGATCTGAAACACATTGGGAGGACTATGAATGAGCCTTGGATGTTGTCAGGAGACTTTAATGAAATAGCTTCTGTTTCTGAGAAGAAGGGAGGAGGTCCAGTTGATATTAATAGATGTAATATGTTCAGTGGTGTTCTGGATGCCTGTTGGGTAATGGACTTGGGAGGTGGAGGTAATAGATTTACTTGGAAAGGGCCTAAATTCATTCATTTGGAAAGAGTGTATAAAAGGCTTGACAGAGCAGTTGCAAATGACTTGTGGAGAACTTGTTTTGATGATGCTGATGTCTTGAATCTTCTAAGGATAATTTCAAACCACTGCCCTGTTTTGGTTAGATTGGAAAAAAAGGATTCTTGTTGGAGGGAGAGACCCTTTAGATTTATGGCTGTCTGGCAGAATGATGCTAGATTCAATTCTTTCTTCAAGTCTAATTGGGATTCCAGTTCCAAATTGCTGGATAGTTTATCTTCATTTATCCCTGTGGTTAAGGACTGGAATAAGAATGTATTTGGATTCACATTGTTCAAAAAGAATAGAATGATTGCTCAGCTGGAAGGAATCCAAAGACAGATGTGCTTGTATAATAGTTATCACTTGGAGGAATTGGAAGCCAAGTTAATCAAAGAATTATATGATATTCTAGACCAAGAGGAACAGATCTGGTACTAGAAATCAAGGGGTGATTGGATTAAAGGGGGTGACAGAAATACCAGGTTCTACCACACTAGTACTTTGATTCGAAGAAAGAGAAATAAAATCTTAAAGTTGCAGAATAATGGGGGTGGCTGGGTTTCTAGAGAGGAAGAACTAATTGAGCTAGTTAGAAATTTTTACTTTAATCTTTTCAAAGAAGATTTGCTTGAATAAGAATGGAGTCAATCTGTATATTCCTGGCCAAACATCAGTGAGGAGGATATGAAACTTTTGTCTTTGGATATTTCCCATGAGGAAGTCAGGAAGGCTTTCTTCCAAATGCCACCCTTGAAAACTCCAGGACCGGATGGATTTTTTGCATTATTTTATCACAGGAATTGGGATCTGGTTAAAGATCAAGTGTTTAATAGCATGAAGTGGTATCTCAATAATCCGGATCAGATTAAGGAGATCAATCATACTCTCCTTACCTTGATTCCTAAAGTTGATAGACCTTGCTTTATGAAGCAATTTAGACCTATTGCTCTCTGCAATACTGTATACAAAAAGCTAAGCAAAATCCTGGTTAATAAGATCAAACCTTTTATAGGTAATCTTATTGCTCCCAACTAGGTCAGCTTTATTCTTAAGAGGAACATTCAGGATAATATTATTATTGTCCAAGAACTTATTCACTCTATGCATAGGATGAAAGGGAAGAAGAGTTTCTTTTCTATCAAGATTGACCTAGAGAAGGCCTATGACAGACTCAATTGGAGTTTTGTTAAATCTGTTCTTGAGGAGGTGAAGCTACCTGGTGATTTGATTGATGTTATCACGGGCTGTGTTACTAGTCCTTTTATTGAAGTATTATAGAATGGTGCTAGAACTCCAGGATTCCATCCTCAAAGGGGAATAAGGCAAGGGGATCCCCTATCCCCTTACTTATTTGTCCTTTGTATGGAAAAACTTACTCACCTAATTATGGATGAAGTGGGAAGGAAGAATTGGCATCCAATTAAAACTGGCGGATCAAGGCCTCAGATCTTCCATTTAATGTTTGCAGATGACATCATACTTTTTGCTGAAGCTTCATTAAGCCAACTGGATTGTCTTTCTGACTGTTTGGATAAGTTCTCTAGAATGTCAGGTCAATGTGTGAGTATGGAGAAATCCTGCATCTATTTCTCTAGAAATACTCCTCAGGAGATTGTGAACATTATTTCAGATGTTAGTGGTTTCAAGGTGGTCAAGAATATTGGCTGTTAATTGGGAGCTCTAATGAGGCATGAGAGGATTGGAAGAAATCATTATGCTAATGTCATATCTAGAGTGCAGAATAGGCTCCAAGGATGGAAATCTAAGTCCTTGTCTATGGCTGGGAGAATCACCTTGGCAAAGAGTGTTATTTCAGCTATTCCAATGTATCATATGCAAAATAATACTTTTCCAATACATATCTGTCAAGATATTGAGAAATTACAACGCAAGTTCATTTGGGGAGATACAGATGAAAAAAAGAAAGGCTCACTATGTTGCTTGGGATCAATTATGTAAGCCTAAGGAATGTGGTGGCCTTGGTATTATCAAACTCAGAATCCAAAATGAAGCTTTCATGCAAAAGATATCTTGGATGCTTATTAATGACCAAGACAGCCTCTGGGCCAAAGTTCTTCTTGGCAAATATGGTAGAAAATTTGATCCCAAAAGAGGTTTTATTGCTAGAAAAAGTGATTCTTCTTTATGGAAGAGCATTTGCCCAGCTAGAACTAAATTGGATCACCATTTGATTTGGGAGGTTGGCAATGGAAATTCAGTTCTTTTTTGGTCAGACTGCTGGAGTGGATGGAAAAATAGTTTATATGAGCTTGCTATTGTTAAGCCTCCTGATTCTGATCTAGAACTGAAAGTATGTGACATTGTTGAGCTAGAAATAGGTGTTTGGAAGTGGGACTATTTGAAGACATACCTTGATGAAGCTACTCTTGGGAAGTTGCAAAGTATGCTGCCACCTATGCCAAATGGACCGAATGATAGGCTCTGTTGGGTAAGAAATAGCTCTAGTAGATCTATGGTCAGAAATGCTTACTGTCAGCTAACTGATTCTAATGTGGGGAAAGACAAAATCTGGTCGATCATTTGGAAATGGAAAGGACCATATAGAATAGCTGTATTCTTATGGTTAGTTTGTCTGAATAAGCTACCTGTTAGAAGCATCACTTGTCATTGGAGTGGAGGAGAGATTCTATGTCCAACCTGTATAGCTGATCAAGAGACAATTCTGCATGCACTCAGAGATTGCAAAAGAGCTAGACTGTGTGGGAGAGATGGTTTGGAGGTAAGATTCCACAAACTTTCATGTCAGTAGAAGGACTAGACTGGTTTAAACTCAATATCTGTAAGACTTTCTCATCCAATCTGTGGCATTCTTGGAAGGAAATCTTTTTTGTAACTTGTTGGTTTTTATGGCAATGGAGAAACCTAGTGGTCCATGATGATATGTTTACATGGCTTAGTGATCCCATCAGTAGGATTCTGAATTATTTAGGGGATATGAAAAAGAACTGCAATGGTGATCCTTTCTCCCAGATGCAAGTATCTTCCATCTCTTTTGTTGGATGTAATAACAAGGACCAGCAGGAGGCTGTTAAAATCTTAGTTGATGGTGCTGTTAACTTGAACACCAAAGCAGGGTCATATGGAGGTTTCATCTGTAATTCAAGTGGAGATTGGTTAAGTGGTTTTTCTTTCAATATTGGTGTTAGCTCAATTCTGGAGGCTGAACTATGGGGAGTTTGGCAGGGGCTTCAATTAGCTTTGGACTTGAATATTCAGAAAGTTTGGATTGGATGTGATAGCAAGGAAGCTCTCTTCTGCATTAATTCTTCAACTGATTCGGATGGCTGCTCTCCCTTAATCAGAAGAATTAGGAGTATTGTGCATTCTTTTAATCATGTTTACTTTGAGTTTGTTCATAGAGAGATTAATACTTGTGCTGATAGTCTAGTTATGTTAGGTTTCAATTGTAGGGGTGGAGAGTTGAAATTGTGTTCCTCTCCTCCTGCAAGCATTTGTCCTTTTTGGAAAGACTTTTGTAGTTTTTTGCTGACGGAGCATGTCCCTTTTAACATGCATCAACTTTCAATATAATTTTATTGGGCTAGGCCCTCCACTTTTACCAAAAAAAAAAAACCTCCACTTTTATTGTTAATGAGTTGCTCATAGTTTTGTACATAGACTAACCTTCACGATGTAGGGGACTCAGTTTTTTTGTGATTGGGTGAAAATAAAAATAGCAAAGTTACAAGTGTTATTAAGAATAATAAGATAGACTAACTATTATAAGTATTTTTGAGGGATGAGCTATAATATATTATTATTAGATAAATATTATTTTATACATATAATAATAAAATAATTAAAGTTTAGGGAAAGATGACCGCTAATGCATAAACTTCAAGACCAAAAATACTAGGATTGATTATCATATCAATGAAACTAAACTATTTTTTTGAAAAAAAATTTCACTCAATAAAATAAAATAAATAAATGTTCGATATAAAAGAAGATGGATTGGTTAATTCAATAAAAAAATAAGAAATGAGAGTTTGCATAATTATTTGTTGAACAACCAATATTTCTCAATTGAAGGACCAATTTTTTTCCAACATAGAGTTTCATTTTTTTTTATATCAATTATTTTCTCAAGTCATATCGGATCTTACTAATTCGATCAACCCGTGTTTGAAGGTCTAACTGATCCTACCAATTCAGTTTTAGATTTTAGACCTTTACCCTCTCAGGAATTATGATTCTCAAGAATCAATGCCATTAGTCTATAGCTTATGTTTTAAAGGAGGTAAGTAAAGGGAAAAATGTATTTATTATTTATTTTCCTTATTTTAAAAAAATTTGACACTATTTGATTTTTTTTTTCATTTAATAATTTTTTATTTTTTTAACTTTATATATAAAGCTTGACATTATTCTTAACTAAGTGAAACCTTTCCCTCCATAATCACAATAATCTAGGAATGATGGACCCACTGAATGAAATTAAGTAGCATTGATTATGGGAAAAATGAAGAATGACAGAGGATATAACGGCTCCATGGGGACCACCTTTGAGTACTTTTGTGTTTTGTCCCCACTTTGTAGTACAACACCATCACCAATCAACCCATTTTCTTCCCTATCTTCTCCATTTCCGCCGATCCACCAAGCTTTTCTCTTTCTTCAAAACCATCATAACCCTTCACTCCTTAACTGGGGTTGCCCCATTTTTCCAACCACTTTGTTGAAAACTTTTGTTTTTTTGTTTGCCTTAAGCATATGATGATGAAGAACAACCTCAGTTGTCTTATGTTTCACTTTTTTGGATGTCTCTTGTTGCCACCTCTTGTTTTCTGCCACCACATCCATGGTAATGTTACCTTATTTTTCTCTTTCATCATTTTTTTTTTTTTTTTGACATTTTGAAGTGTTTATGAGCATTTTCATGTTATGGGGTTATAAGAAAAATGTGAGTAAGTAACAAATGCTTCTGTTCTCTGTTTTTGGAGGTTTTGTAAGGTTGTTATGATATTATCTGGTGTTAAATTACTTTTACTTTTGAGTGCTAGTGTGTAATGGGTACTCCAATAACTCCTAAGTTTTAGTTCCAAATGAGTTTTGCCCTTTAGGCTTTGAAAGTTTGCATCTTTTTTCTGGATCTCTGATTCATGAAGCCACTGTCTCAAGAGAATTTAGGGATATGTGTGTAAGTGATATCCTGAGTCCAGTTAGGTCCCGAGTGTCACATTCCTTTTCTGAGAAACTTCAGTAAATGCTTCCTGTCAGTAGTTTTGTCCGAACTTGCTATTTTTCAAATAGAGAACTGTCACTGCTTAAGTGCTTGTTTGTAAATGCTTGCCTATGTGTGTGTGTGTGTGTGTCTATTACAGTCTGAAAGCCTCCAAAGGATTCGTACTACCATTTTGAAATTAGTGAACAAAAAAGGAATTGTAGTGGTAGTCTTTGGTAGTATGTACAAGGAAGAGAGCTTTTATGTTTATGCTCATGAATTGGCCTATTCTCCCATGTTTCAGTTTTTTTTTTTTTAATATAGTTTATCCAATCCATAAAGAGGGCAAGCCTCAAGCAGCTGTAAAACTGCTTCTTCGTAACTAAAAGGTTACCGGTTCGTTTTAAAGAAACAGCTCTCACCCCTACCCTCTCTAGTCGGGATTTAATGGAAAGTGGTTTTTTATATTCTATGCATATGCATCTCCTAAGGTTCACTCCCTTCCTCTATTTGTTTATAATTTAAAAGCATAATACTAAAACCAATGCCAAGTCTTAAAGATATTGTGTTTAGGAAACATAAGCTATTCAGTTTTTTTAAGTTGCTTTCTCAAAGACTATATTATGTACATTCTGACATACAGAAGGGAGCCAGGGGAAACAATTTCATGTACACTTTTCTTCTAAAGATATTTGTAACTAGGGATGGCATATGAAACACTTCTAGCCGTTAGTTCTTTCAATTAATTTTAGGAAGATAACATAAATCATGCTCCGACAAGAATTGTTCTTTAACTTCCAACAGCATGCCAAATCCTGTCTACATTTTGAAAGCTAGATTGATAAATTTCTGAACTCTGAAATCCAATGCCTTTGAATTAATTATTGAATTTAAAGAGACTAAATCCAAATTCTTTTCCAATCAAAGATTCAAATATGATAATTTACTCTTTGGCATCGCTGATCACAAGGAACAATCCTGCATCATGCACTACAAGATTTTTGAACTTGTAGAATGTCCAAGTATGTTGGTTAAGTTCAACATTCATTTCCTTGATAAGCTGCATTATGACCAAAATATTTGGGAGTTGGTCTGTATTTGGATTTTATTTACTTAATAAATAGAGCATATAATAGTAATTGGTTGGAGAAACCTGAATTGCTCTGATTGAGTATCTTTATGACTTGAAATTTAGACAGATGATTTGGTTCCTAGCATGACTTATTTTGTGCAATAATTTTAGTAGAAAATGTGATTATAGAACAGGTTTTGGGGATAATCAATCTCATAAGAGGGGATCCTTTATCATTTTTTATGTCTTTAGAAGAACAGTAAAGATCAAAGGCATGCTTTATGATACTGCAAGACTTTTATTGATGTATAGGACTCTATAAATATTAATATTGAATTTAGACTTCTAAACTCTAATGAGGCTGAAGATAATGGCCTCAAAATGGCATGTTGAGACAGGAAGAAATTACAAAATGTGATGTTTCTATTACAACTAGTTTTGATATTTGTTGTTCTACTATGCTGGAGTTCTGTGAATATGTTTCTTAGAAGAACTAGTTTTCTCAAAAGATCAGACCTACAAGATGACTCCCAAGTATGTATCATTTGCTGAAATATTCAGGTTTGGGCTTGGTAGCTTTGTTATTTAAACTAGAGGGTTAACCACACTCCTTGCTAGAAGTAAGTTGAGGATTTAAAAACACTTTAAGAAATGTGATAGATATGGAAATGGAACTTGGTAAATACCTTGTAAGGGTTTGAAAATGCATACAGTAATAATTGTATTTTTACATCATCTAAGGAATTTGTCTCTAGTACCAAAGATGAGCAAGAAGATGATGTAGGAAATTGAAGTATTTGAGTTATAATGTGAATAACTATCTTCTGTCTGCAACTTGTAAACTTATGATGATTATTAAGCAACAATATTGATTATTTTCAACAATCATTTTTTAGATACCAAAGTATTCATGGTTATGCTAACAGTAGCATCCCATTTAGATCTGCAAATCCTTTAGAAAACCGAATAGGCTCTATATTACTTTTTGCATATTAGGCTGATTAGAAATATTTTGCAGTGGAGGGATTCACTTGTAGGGAAGAACATACATCCGTATACGGATTTTTAATAGAACTATTGTGCTTATATTTCTTCTCCAGGAATACAAGTAGGTAAGTAGTGAGAAGACAATTTCACTAGGAAGGTTTACTTCAATAAGGACATTAAGGAGCTATGTAGCATTTTCTCAATGGTTCATTTTATGTAATAGTACTAACAGAATCAGGTTCTGAAGTATATTCCTAATTTAGTGCAAATATGAATCATACTACTTTCATCAGACATGAGTAATCAATATGGAGATCAAGGCAATTGAAAGGAAACAGTATAAACATAATCTTCATGCATATGTATGTGCTTGCACATGTACTATACACAGAACCATGCAGATTTAGATGGATTGTTGTGTATGCATTGTTAGAATTAATTTTAAATTAATTATTTTTATGAATAAGAAGTTTGATTTTGAAAATGTGTTATTATGCCATCAAATGAATGTGTCGTTTCGCTACTGAACTGGTGTTGTTTAAATCGTGACCTTTCGTTTTTTACAAATAAATGGAGAATCAGATTTTTCACACTCGAGTTTTTTCTCTATTGGTTTTTTGTACATTCTTTGCTTTTGCATTCTTCTACTCTAGTGCGATTGATCAAGTATTGGTTGAGTTCAATGGGATTATTCTATGTGGAAGTGCTGCAATAACAATAGAGATAATTTGTTCTATCCCGAGAGACAATTATCCACGAATCTGGGCACCATAGAAAGTTTAAAATTGACTTAAAGGACACAATGTCTAACAATGAGCTCGGATTTTTCCTCGTTGCATTAATATATTTCTGTATAGTGAGCTTCACTTTGTGTTATTGCATGTTTTAATTTCTCACGTGTATTTTATGGAACCGTGTATATTGTTGAAGCGATTTCTTGAATACAGTTTAACCTCTCAATAATGATCTTAACATCATTTTTCTATCATGCACTCTAAATGATATACCAAATCTAATCTCTGAAATCAGCTGATTATGTTCTCTCTGTCCTACAGGAAACCCTGCCAATGATATTGTTGACATTATAAACAAGAATCGAACAGATCAAAAGCTGCCTCACTTGAATGACAGTCCTGGTCTAGGGTGCATGGCCTTACAATATGTTGAATTATGCAAAGGGAACTGCACTGATAACAATGTTGTAAACTGCAAACCTCCTGAAGATGACTTCACTGAAGTGTTTGCTCCCAATTGTGGTGTAGAGCTACCCACTTTTGGAACCATAACTGGACACATTGTGGGTTGCCAAAAAAAGTATCTTGAGCCATCATTAGCATATTCCCAAGTTCTCATTAAGGATAATAAATCTTTGTCTCTTCTAAGAAACAAATCACATACTGAAGTTGGAGTAGGCCTTGTTGGACTCCATAAAGGGCCTTTCTTTTGGTGTGTTTTATTTAGCAATGGCCAAACAAACTCTTCATTTGTGCTTGAAAATCGTGGTGCTGGGATCAAGCAAAAAAAGGGGTGTTATAGTGGAAACAATACTCCATGCAGTGAGGGGAAGAAAAGTAGTGTTGCATTTTTTAACATCTTTTTCATGGGTTATGTATTCATTTTTCTGTCTAAACTTTTGTGATCAATTTACAATAATGCAAGATCTTCACGTGACAATTCTTGAATGACATTTTTTTTTTTTTTTTTGCTTCATTTTACTTATTCTGTTTGCTATGTCTGTCTGTGTTTCACTTGCTGTTATTTGGATTTCTATCACTTCGTCATGGCTTCATGTGAACTTTTCACACAAGCTTTGTGAACATAGATACAAAATCTTTGCACATAGCAAATTTTATGGGTCAGTAATACTCTTTCACATGTTTCTTTACTAATTAAAAGATGAAGTGACGCTTCTAAAAATAAAATAAAAAATGAAGTGACACTTTTTAAATTTTAAGTTAGCATAATTATTCTCAAAGCCTATTTTTTTTTTTTTTTAATACTCAGCCTATTCTTTGTTTGGACCAATATTATTAAATTCGTATTGGTCAATGATTCGACCGGAATACTAGATTAACGAGTCATTGTCATTGTCATTGGTTCAATCGGTTAAATCATATTTATATAAAACTATGTAATAAATATAATAATAGGTGTTACTAGCAAGCATCAATAGATCATGGGTTCTATCCATGGAGAGTGCTAAACTTAAATTATTTTACTCAAAATTTCAAAAACCGGTTCATTTGAAAAATAGGTACCGGTTGGATCATGAGTTATACCTGGTTCACTGATTTAATACTAGGTTGATTTTACAGCCGGTTGGTCAGTCCCAATTTTGATTAGAGTGGTTTCAACACGATCAAACTAACGAATTTTGAACTATCAAATATTATTTAAAATACATTACCTTTTACATGCCAGATCCTAATCAATGCAAAAACTCTAAATGGAGTGAAACTTAGAGCAAAGAATATATAATCTTCATTTATCATATATGTAAATATAAGCGACAGCACAAAATTGGTCCTTTATTTATTAGCAACATTAGATTGATATATTTCAATGTTAATTATTAGGGATCATTTTTTTTTCTGTTACTACAGATAAGTTATCTACAGTAAATCCAATACAACGTCATTTTGAGACGAAAATCATGATGTTTTTGTAATTTTAATTTATTTCAGAGTTATTATAGTCTTTATAATTATAATTTTCTAATATTTCAATTCCAAAACGACGTCGTTTTAGAAATAAATGCAGATAACTTATCTGCATTAACTGCAGAAATATTTTTCTGTAATTATTATCATTAATTTCATCGTTCAAAGACCAAATTGATGTCATCTAGTTATGTCAAGTTCAATTTGATATAAGAGAAAAGCAAAATTAAAAAATTAAAATTTGATATTACATATAATATATTTTCACTTTAAGAACATTAAAGATTACCCTCAGCTAGGGGTGTAAATGGGCTGGGCTGGGCTGGGCTTTGGCCATCCTAGCCCAAGCCTACGTCAAAAAAAAATTAGCCTATCTGGCCTACTGGCCTATTAAAGGCTTTATTTGTAGGCCAAGCCCGGCCCATTTTCAAAAATAAGAAAGCCTGACATGGCCTACAGGCCTTGTAGGCCTCCCACTATATATACTAAGCAAAAAAAATAATTGTATAGAGCAAAGAAAGTTCCCTTCATGCATGCACTAGTACTTCTCATAAGAAAAAAATGACAAACAAGAAAGAGTCAACATAATACCTCAGCTCTAGAATGTATATCATAGAGGAATAGAGTCAAAGAAATGGGAAAAATAAGAAAAATACAATTACTAGATGCTGAAATAAAGTCTACAAGAGAATGTCATTCATCTAAAAATCTTTAAACCACCATCAAGACAAGGGAAAGAAGAGTATTATTGAAAGATCTTCATCAGTAACATCATAATCCAGCAAGGTACTCATTGTTCCATGGTATTAAGTTGCAACAGCATGTAAAATTTGGAGACATTAGACAAGTTTTCCTTTCATAAAATAAAATAGCACAAAAAGTAAGAGATATTGGTATTTGGCACTTTGTGTCTTTGCCACATAAAATAAATATTATTTTATTATTTTATTTTAATAAATTAAATAGGCCAGCCTACAAGGCTGTAGGTCGGGCTTGACAAAATTGGCCTATGGCCTATTTATTAAAAAAGCTATTTTATAAGCCTAAGCCTACTCTACTTTTCTGAAAGGCTGGGCCTGGGCTGGGCTCAATGTAGGCCGGGCCGTAGGCTGGGCTGGGCCAGCCTGGCCCATTTACACCCCTACCCTCAGCCATGACACACACGGTAATATGAGTAATATCAACCGTGTTGGTCGTTGCTGAGCTGGCAGCTTAACCGGTGGAGTAACATCCGTTAGTTAGTTAAATGGGACATGATTCGTTTACAAACTTTTTTTGCAATTACACTAAGTAGGACCCGTCGTACACTGTGTGATTAATGTAGGACCGGTCCTACTTAGTGTGGTTTGTAAGAGTTTCTAAACAAAAAAGTTTGTAAATATAACCTGTCCCTAGTTAAATTAATGATAAACTTTTGAACATGTTGAGAGAAGAAAATTAATTATCAATGGTTAAAATGAGTTACCGTTGGCTTAGCAATTAGTAATTAAATGTCATGACAACTAACGACGGCTTAGTTGTGTACTCGAAAATGATTATGCCAAACAAAACACGAATAAAGTACTGCAATATGTGTTATGGATAAGAACATAAACCACACCCAATGACAGAATTAAATTATACAAATCCGGACATATAAGTACATGCAAAACCAAACCAATGAATAAGTGATAGAAAGTGATTTGAACTTAATCAATTAGATCTAGTTACACACGGTTGAGTCTGATCTAAATTGGTGATTTGTTGGATTGATGTGACGGGATCCCGTGCTTTATTATTCGGGATGATAATATTGTTGGGTATGACTCATACTCTGCATTCATATAACAACTTTTGTTGGCAAAATGCACAGACAGCCAACGCAGGATTGCCTCAGGTTTATTTTATTTTATTTCTCTTTTTAGTAGTTTGGACTTTGACTCATGAACAATGGGGGAGCCAGAAGAAAAACTCAGCCAGTGTCAAAAGATCCAATCAAGTAAAATTTAGCCAGTGCCAAAGTTGTATTATTTAAAAAAATTCAACCAATGCTAAGGTAGTACCATATTTTTTAAAGAAAATCTAGACCATTTTTAAAAATTAGCTGGTGCCAAGGCACCAGCTAACTAACGAGTGGCTCCGCCAATGCTCATGAATAGCTATTGTAGCTTAAGGTTTCTAAGCCTATTTATACTACCCTAGTAAACAAAGTACTTTGTAACGAGTGCAACGAAGACAATATAGTTAAACAGTGTAGGACATAACCCACATGGGTGAATCGAGGTAAACCTATGTCTCCATTCTTTCTTCCATTCTCTCTTTTCTGTTTGCGATTTTAAGTGTGATTGTTCAACGACAACAAATACCAGCAGGTGGCAATGAGTACCTACAAGACATTTTGATACTCAAGTTAGTATTTGAGATAACATTTTAACTTTGTACCTTTTCATTCATAAAGACATTGTATAACAAAATGAAAATATAAATACTCATAAATAAAATTTAAGTAACATTTGGATTTAATATAGTTTCCACTATTTACTCACCTAAGTATTGAGCCAAAGTAGAAATTAAGACTATTAATTGGTATAAAGATATTGAATAGATACTTAATTGCTAAGCATTTCCTTCCGATACTAGTTGTCATTCTTTTTTTATCTTTCTATTTCTCTTCATTTTCATTTTGCTTATCTCTCTCCATTCTTTTTTCTCTTCCAACTTCTACTAAATCCACACCTATTTATATACTTTCTTCCTTTAGAGAAGGCCACATTAATACTACCATTACCTTGGATTTTCCCTATTATTCATTTTACAACTATTCCTTTTGGTATTTTTCAATAATATTACTTCATTATTACTTTCACAACTAATTACATTGTCACCACCATTTGGTATTTTTCAAAGATATTGTGTCATTATTATTTTTATAACTAATCACATTTTCATCACCATTTGGTGTTTTCTAATGACATTTTTTCAATTTGAACTATTTTTTCTTCATAATTTTTTTACAACTCATTACTTTATCACCACAATGTGATGTTATTCAACAATATTTTATCATATAGGGAAATGTTTATGCTTTTGTTGCGAATAATTTTTCTGCCACACTCATATAAAAGTGAGTGGATCCCATAATAAAGAGAGGAGAGAAAAAATATTGATGGGACCTATTCACTTTTATGTTAATGTGATCGAAAAAAATTTTGCAGAAAAAATAGAAACATTAAACTCTATCATATAATTTCATAACCAAAAGAAGACAATTAATGATAATATTATCAACTTATTCCTATTAGTGATACTGATTAGTTGTAGTAGGTATACTGTAAATGTCACACCAGATTATTTCTCTATAAGTTTGTTAGTTTGTTATATAATTTGTTAGACTTGTTGAGTCATCAATGTATTAGTCTTAGCCCTATATATATAGAGCTGAGCATATTGTACAAATCAATCAATCATTCATTTCTCAATATTAATTACAAATGTTCACTTCTTTGATCTCTCTCTACCTTTCACCTCTCTCTATCTTCTCTCTCATCACTTCTATGATGGAACTCTGATATAATATCAGAGCCCTCACCAAGGGCCTGATCCATTCAACAAAGTTCAATCATGACTTCCGCTACCAACTTTAACACCAGCGCAACTCAACCAGAGAAATCAACTTCCAGATCTACAATGGAAGCCAAAGATCCGTCTACACTTTTCAATTTTACGATCTCAGCGAAGCTTACAGAAGACAACTATCTCTTCTGGAACCAGTCATTGAACCTATCATCACATCACACCAGTTACATCGCTTCTTGGTGAACCCTAAGATTCCTTTGAAGTTCAAGTTAGACGAGGACAGTGAATGACAGAGTGGTTAACTCAAGATCAAATGCTTCTGACCTGGTTGTTATCAACGATTTCTGAACAAGTAGTGAATGACATCCTTCCAGTCAAGCATTCATTCGAAGCTTGGGAGAACATACACAAATTATTTCATGGCGTTATGAAATCATGAGCCAGACA